AAGATTTTATTGTTCCAGAGTGCAAGCATTAGAGGTGTAGGTACTAAAAAAATTTAATTTTTTTGGCATCCTTTATGTACACTGTCCAATAACATTATGACAGCAGGTTTTCTCACTTTTGTCTGAGGCTGTTCTGAAAGTGTATAGTATTGAAATAGTCATAGTATATAATAGTTACTTGAAGAATTCCTCCTAAGGCCATAGAAGGCAGTAAGGATATACATACATGCAAAATTTTTGCTGCATTTTAATCTTCAAGGATTCCTTAAAAAAAAAAAGCCTGGCAAGGCAAATATAAATGAATATTCAGAGGAATAAGGTCACAACTGTAATCTTTATTCCTGTCACTGGAGTAGTTTGGTGGACCATGCCATATTATTATAAGGTTAAACTGCTACAGATTTTCCCATTTTATTTATCTTCTATAAACAGCATCGCAGGGGAGGACATTCTTCTAAAGGCAGGCAAGAAGGTAAACAGTACTGGTTATGCTTCAGTATAATGTTATCCTTACGACATTTTCTTTCCTTCTTAGGAGGAATGGACTGACGATGACCTGGTAGATTCTCTCTAAACCATTTGAAATTGATTTGTCAGTGCTAAGACTAATCAACAGAAGGATGAAGCATATCTGGCCATTTAACCTTATTTAAAAATGAAATAATGTAAAAGCATCAAAATATATTAAGCTTTTCTATTTGTTATTTAAATTCTTTTCCTTTCAGAGTAGTTTTATCTGAAACTAAACATCTTCAAAGGAGCCAGAATAAGTACCTGGTTTGGGCAGTCTTGCCCCCACCATGACTAATATCAAACCATTTTCTATAGTAGCCAAATTTAAACTATAGAACCTATATTTTAAACAAAATGTAATAAGCAAACGTACCAAAAGTTTTGTTCTTGTGGTACCCTTTTTATTAAAGGGTAAGTCAGTTTTAAAAGTGCTAAGGAATATTGGCTATTACACTTGTTAAATTATTTAACTGTGATGTTAGTTTCTAAGTTGGAACCAAATTACGGATGTCTGTCAAGTTTTTTTTTCCTTGGAAAATGGGTTTGAAGGAGTTCTGAGAAAGATACACACATACCTCTCCTCAATGTCAGTGTATCCCAGGCTGTACTTTTCCACGAAGTGTAGGGACCATTTAGTTACATCTTAGCATTTGAGAGTAATATTTACTATGTTCATATTGTTCTCTAATAATTCTTTATATTTGTATTTTAGGCTTGAGTTTTGGGGTTTTAGTTTCTGGAATGAGAGGACTAGAATTCAGAAGAGGAGTGGAAGAAGCCAAAGTTGACAATCCTCCAGGGCAACCCAGGTTAAGTAGCACTGTTGCCAGCCTCTAGACAGAACTGCCAACTGTTCACAATTTCTCATTTCTCTTTTAGGTCACTAAAGTTTGGCATCAGAGCAAGGTCCACACTTTTTTTTCCTCCTCAGCCCCTTTAAAAATTTCATCACTGACCAGCTAGTTACTCCAAGGCCAACAAAGGTAAAATGACAGATTTCCTATTCCAGCTTAAGAGATGAGCATGTCAGGAATTTACAAAAAGCAGGATGACTTTAGGTTTACAGAGGCATTTCAGATTGAGGAATGGGAGAGAAAGGAAGGGTCACGCACTAGAATCTGGAGACAAATGGCACATACCTATGATGGAAGTCTAGCTGCAGAGCAGGAGGGATGGAAAAGGAACACAGGGTGTGCTGAGCATTCTGCTCACTCGTCAGGTGGGATCGCAGCTACTCCAGGACTAGCTTACTGCCATACACCTTAATAGCTCAAAACTATACTACACAGAAATCTTCTGAACCCTCCATTAGTTAACACTTTATCCTATTAGTTAACACTTTATCCTACCCCTTTTTAAAGTTTGTTTTTACCTACTCTTGGAAGAAAGTATTTTACTGTGGAAAATGCTTTCCCTAATACATCCGGGTCTCACCCACTTTGGTGTGCCTCCCCCCACCCCCGCACAATTATGGGAGGGAAAGAATTATTACCCCTACCAAATACACAATGAATGGATTAATGGACTACTTCTCAAGAGACCATTGGCCAGAAAAAAATCTGACATTTCATCTTCTCCCTGGACCTTGCTCTGGTACTAAATTATTACTGTTCCTAAAGGAGGAAGAAAATAATAATAAATGTTTAGCTGTATTTAGACAGAAGTAATCAATTATTCAAGATATCCCTCAGTTTTATTTTAACTTACCCCTGTGAATACTTCACAAAAATACACATATAGAAGCAAATGAAACTAAATATCCAGCAGATACAACAAGTAGTCAGAAGGTCAAAGATGGAAAGCTGTTAAGTAGATGATGAGACTGTTTGCATAATTTAAAAAATCAACGTGGAATTAAGAAACATACTTTCAACAAAAGCATTCTACGGGTGTTTTCTATAAAACGGCTGAATGGGTAACATGCATTTATCAGTACATAGTGACCAATAATATTTATTGAACTCAAACTATTTACTGTTGTAAACATTTATCAAAAGCATTATGAGATCTAAATACAGTCTTTGACAATTCCAACAAACAAAATAAGTGGTATGTTTAAAAAATAAAGCTGATGAGCAATAGATCGATTCTATATATTTTCTTTCAACAGTTCCAGCAAAGAGAAATAGCACAGTTATTTTTTTTAAAAAAAAA